CCACTGAGGAAGGGCAAACCCCAGCTGGCCCCAGTGAAGAAACAGCTCCCTCTGGCTCCCTCCGCTCCAGAATACCCATTCCCACTGCCAGAAACATGGGCAAGACCCCTGCCTTCCCTGCCAAGGATCCCCAAAATTTCAGCATCCCACTCAGGCCCTCAGCCACCCTCGCAGCCACCATCAAAATCTGTGGCATCCTCCATTCCGGTTGTAGCCTACAGAGCATGCAATCTTATCCCACCCCTGCAAACCGAAGGCCTCCCCATCCCAGCTATACGAGGCCCCTGGGTGGAGACGGGCGGCCAGCACCTCCATGAAGACCAGCGCTCCCCTTCCTCATCCCCCCATGCCTGGGCAAAGTCACTGGAGGGTGGCCACCAACACCCAGACACCCTTGGTCATTGTGCAACGGCTTTGGGGGCACACAAGAAGCCTCGCAGTTCCCTTGTCAGTGGCAAAAAAGGTGGGGGAAGTGCCACCTGTTTTGACATCGGAGGCCAGTCTCAGGAGCCCCAAGCCACGAAAGACGTGCCAATCCCAAGACCCTCCCAAGGGAAACCATCTGAGGCACCTGATGAGCCTAAACTCAATACCAAGGCAAAGAGGCATAAAAGCCCAGCAAGTGAAGGGGAAGCAAGCAGGAAAGTGAGGAAGACAAATAAAAGCTCAGATCCCACCACTTCTGGGGATGGAACGGCTTTAGGGGCACATAAGAAGACTTGCGCTTCCCTCGTCAGTGGCAAAAATGGAGGCAGAGGTGCAAAAAAGGCAGCAAAGGGCACTGCAAACCGAGAGGTCAGTCTTACGATGCAGAGTGCTGGGTCTGGAAAAGATCTTGCCCCGAGCAAGGCATTGAAAGCCACTAAAAAGAAGACGACAACCTCAGTGACAGCAGGGGAGGGACCTAACACCACTTCTGGGGATGGAACGGCTTTAGGGGCACATAAGAAGACTTGCGCTTCCCTCGTCAGTGGCAAAAATGGAGGCAGAGGTGCAAAAAAGGCAGCAAAGGGCGCTGCGAACCGGGACGTCAGTCTCACAATCCTCAGTGACAGCAGGGGTGGGACCTAAGCAAGTGGCCACTCAGGAGCCCCCTAAGCCACTTCCTAGGAGCCATCTGGCCATGCAGATGACTGAGTCCCTGAACGTCTTCTAACCACTGAGGAAGGGCAAACCCCAGCTGGCGCCAGTGAAGAAACAGTTCCCTCTTGCTCCCTCCACTCCAGAATACCCATTCCCACTGCCAGAAACATGGGCATGTCTCTGATCACACGGGCATGTCTCTGATCACACGGACCTCCATCAGTCATAGGTTTTAATTTTCAATGACAACCTCTTTTATCCATATTCAAATTTAAGGTTTTAGTCTCAATTCCTAGTTGGAATAAATTTGATGATTGTTTGTCCACATTCAGCGTTTTTATTCTGGACTCTTCCCATCCCATTCTTCTGGGTTGTCTCTTTCACTGTCTCCATCCTTTCTAAATTTAGATTCAAAGTTAAAAGGTAAAAAAGTTCCCTGACCCCTGCCTTAAACATTGTCAAGGGTTTTTTTTTTTGGCATAAGCTTTTATAGATTACAGTCCAAACTTCAGTGTTATAACATTTCATTTTAATGACGTCAACTGACCTGGTGTCCAGTGGCCCTAATGTTTGATGGACTGAACCAGCATGCATCTCCTCACACCTGGTTAATGTATTACCTGTTCAGTTAAAAGAAGATGGTGGAGGGGAAGGTACTACCAGAAAACAATCTACTGTGAAGCTAACCGTGTGTATATTGCTTTATTAAAAACACTGAGGGGGTAGGAACTGTGAAAGAAGAAGAGGGATTTGACAATAACCTAAAAGTGAAGTCCCTGATTCAAGAATGGTGAGTGTGAAACTGTAGTTAGGATCCCCAAATGCACAAACGTGTAGATTTCCCCTATAGTACCTGGCAGGCCTTAATGACCAAGCCTACAAATGTCATTGCAAGTACCCCACATGCATTCTGTAAAGCCAAACCCCAAGTGATATTTATGAAGGTGAGGGCAACATAAACTCTCAGGTGCTACATTCATTCATTCATTCATTCATTCATTCATTCATTCATTCATTCATTCATTCATT